ACCCCAATGCTACAGCTGATCCGGGCCATCCTGAAAGTCCCCGAAGATCCAACTCAGTGCTTTCTGCTGTTTGCCAACCAGGTTGGTTTGCTTTCTTCCACCCTAAGACTTCAACATTGCTGTGTGGGTAGAGCTGAGAAACATGGTAAGAATGGGCAGAACTGGCCCAGTGCCCTGTTTTAGTCTCTGCCCAAGGTCCCATCTCCAAGGTACAGGGCCCTCTTTTACTAAGGAGGAGAAAGGGCAGAGCACTGAATCAAATTCCTTTCCTGGCAAGCAAGGAAAGAAAACTTTTCAGGTATCTACTCTGGAGCAGAGAAACTTGGATCTTCTTGGTTAATTCATCTGTATTCCTTCATAATGTGTAGATAAAGGCGGTTCCCCTCTTCTCCTCATCCGAACTCCCTAAAAGCACTGCAAGTCTTGCATATTTCCTAGAATTTTGACATTCCCTTAACATTCTTTTTCCTAGTTGGAAAGTTGTAGCAGCAAAATACTTTTTTGTTGTTGTTATCTTTTTTTTTTTTTTTAACATTCAAAACAACAGCAAAATATTTTTTATGTGGGCCTGAGAAGGTTCCTAAAGACTTTCCTTCCCCTTTGCCTTCCAGACGGAAAAGGATATCATCTTGCGGGAGGACTTGGAGGAACTGCAGGCCCGCTATCCCAATCGCTTTAAGCTCTGGTTCACTCTGGATCATCCCCCAAAAGGTATCCCTCCCATTTCTGGACATCCCACTATCCCTTCATCATCAAAACCAAGGGCTTGCCCGTCTGTGAGTTCTGGCTTCAGTGGCCTGCCTCACACTGCCAACTTGAAAGTCTGAGTGCACAGACACAGTGATCTGGTCCCTTTCCTTTGGGTTCCTGTTTGCCAGGTGGGTGACAGGGATGGCTATGCTGCTATGGCTCAGCCTAAAGCAGGCTGAGTGTACCCATTCCCAGCTGCTGCTACAACTTGACACTTTCTCAGGAGCCTTTCAGGTCCCTTCCCAGTGGCCCATTCTCATGGCATCACACCCTTTGCCGCTTGTATCTAGAGTGTAAGTACTTTCTTCTCCCCATACTTCAGACTGGGCCTACAGCAAGGGCTTTGTGACTGCCGACATGATCCGGGAACACCTGCCTGCCCCAGGGGATGATGTGCTGGTGCTGCTTTGTGGGCCGCCCCCAATGGTGCAGCTGGCCTGCCATCCCAACTTGGACAAACTGGGCTACTCGCAAAAGATGCGATTCACCTACTGAGCATCCTCCAGCTTCCCTGGTCCTGTTCTCTGCAGTTGTCTCCCACCCATACTCAAGCACTATAAGCCCTAGATTCCTTTCCTGAGAGTTTTGGCCTTTTTCAGCTCCATCTAAAGCTGAAATCTGGATAGTACCTGCAGGAACAACATTCCTGCAGCCATGGAAGAGGGCCAAGGCTGAGTCGCTCCTTGGAAGGCCCCCTAAATCTCCCCGTGGCAACAGGTTCAGGAGGCGTCCATGGAGCAGCTCCTTCCATGGAGTGGGAAAAAAGGGAGCGTGTACCCTTGGTCCAAGATTGGCTAGTTCCTTGATGGCATCTCACCTTCTTTATGTCTGTGGTGAAAGGAACAGTCTCTGCAATGAGTCTTACTTAATATTCACTGTTTTCCCTATGCGCAAATCCATACACGTGAGTGTAAGTGGAGCATACTTCCAGAGGCGGCCTTATGGAGATGGCAGTTTCTCAGACTCCATGGAGTCTGAAAGATGTGTTTCTGTGTGTCTCTCTCAGCCCCTGCCCAGGCTCGAGGGAAACAGCTACTGATAATCTAAAACTGCTGTTTGTGGCAGGAACCCCTGGCTGTGCAAATAAATGGGGCTAAGGCCCTTGTGTGATATTGAAAGGGTTGTCATGTCTGGGGGCCTCGTTTCCAAATGCCCGAAGACCTGGGGAGGAAGGGTTTGCCAGCAGGGAACTCTCCCAGGTGTTCCAAAGAACCTTTGAGAAGCTGTACCACGTGCTGAAATGTGAGCTGCCAGTAGACTTAGTGATCATCTCAGCAGCTGTCTCAGCAGAGCCAGAGCTCTGCTTCTCCCTGGAGGCCCTTGAGGTGGGGGAAGGAGAACACACATTAGAGGGGACTTTTCTGAGCCCAGCTGCCCCTCGCAGTGTTCCCTTAATATGCCACTCTTCCCCTTCTTCCTTCTGGCCCATCCTTCACCGTATTTATCCTTCAGGGAAGCTGGCACACAAATCAAAGTGTTGCCTTTCTGTTTGGAAGAGAAGCCATCTCCTTTAAAAAGTAACCTGACATCACCAGCCCCGGCCAGACTTGTTGATGCCTGGACAGAGTTGGCCTTCCCGAGGCCCAGCTGTCCTGAGCGCCAATCTACTCTGCTATGGAAGGCCAACCCTTTCCTAGGGCAGGACTAGGGCAGCCTCTCCAGATTCTTCTTTGTTAGTCTTACTGGAAGAAAACAATGTGATGGGCTCAGAAGGTCGGTCAGCATTGTTCTTCTGCTTCTCAACAACTATATATAGCTGTTCCTGAGGCTCCTGAGAGAAAGGTTTATGAGACCCTCAGGATACACTCCTCCCTAGAACAGAGGCATCAGTAAATTCTGTTGATGCTTTTCCATCCAGCATTTCTTGATCAGCTAACGTGTATGGCACTATGCTCTGTAACACAGTCTCAGCCACGTCACCTCCAGAAAGGAAAATGTTGCCTAGGAATGTTGGGCTCAGACAGTGACGCAGGATTGTAAAGAGAATTTTCCTCATGGAAGATCACCATTCCTTGTCTGGCATGGGTTTTTGCCTCATGCACTCAACATACAAATGTTTATTAAGGACTTGTCATGTGCCAAGCACTGTGCTAGGTCCTGAGGATACAAGTGTGACCAAGACTGGTCTGAGACACCCAAAGAACTCACAGTCTAAGATAGACAAGTGACAAATAATTATAACAGACTGTGACTAATACCAAGCAGAGGTACATACAAAGTGCAGCTGGGAAGAGGTTGAGAAAGATTCAGAAAGGAAGGAAGGGGAGAAAGACCTAACATTTTTTACAGTCAGGGCAACATAGTGAGACCCTATCTCTACAAAAACAATAAAAATTTACAAATTAACTGGGCATGGTGGCACAAATCTATAGCCCAGCTACTTGGGAGGCTGAGGTGGGAGAATCCCTCAAAGCCCAGGAGTTCGAGGCTGCGGTGAGCTATGATCTTATGATCATACCACTGCACTCCAGACTAGAGGACAGAGTGAGAGCCTGTCCCTAAAAATACAAAGAAAAATATTTTTGAGTTAATAGCTGTATATCAGGAACTATGCTAAGTATTCGATCCATAGCACATAATTTAATCCTTATGATACTCATATGAGTTGAAGATTAATAATTGGCCAAAGGTCGTACAGCTGGTCAGGGGCTGGCAGAGCCTAAATTTGAATTTAGGATTGTCTGAGGCCAAAGTCAAACCTAGAAGTGGGCATTGTAAACTGCTGGCATCTTGCAGCAATGAGAAGGGCAGTCCAACAGAAGGATCAGCCTGGACGAATGAAAGAGAAGTTCACTTTAGAGAACGAGTTCACCAAGGCCCAACGTGCCAGAGGGAAAATGGTCTCCAATGAGGCCTGAGAGGTTAGAACCAATTCATAAAGGGCCTTGAAACACTATGCTGAAGAAACCTGGACCCAGTCCTGTGGACAGTGGGAAGTTTCTGAGGGTCGGGCAACATGGTAATAGCTAACATTTACAAAGCACTTAGCATTGGCCGGGTCTCATAATCAGAGCCTGCATGGATTATCTCACTAAATCCTAACAAAGACCCAGTGAAATGCTATTATTTTATTCCCACTTTTCAGATGAGGAGATGAGGTAATTATCATTTGGAGGGGTTCAGTTATGTGTTCAAGATCATAGGCTGGCCTGGGACAGTAGCTTGGCTCTATATGACTTCAGAGCCCATGCTTTTAACCGAGACCAAGAGAACTAACCCCACGTCCCTGAGGCACCTATGTCAGATTACAATGAGTCGCTTTCTCTGCCATTAGAATGGCACTAGTTGCACAGTGAACTATGATCTCATGATTCCACTACTGCACTCCAGCCTAGGTGACAGTGAGAACCTGTCCCCCCCCCAAAAAAAAAAAATTGAGTTAACAGCCATATACCAGGTACTATGCCAAGTACTCTTTCTACATCACATAATTTAATCCCTATGATAATCCTGCGAGTTGAAGGGTTGGTCACAGGAGGAAGATCCACATTGCTGTTCAGCAACTGTGTATTGCCGTATCAGGGTCTCCAGAGCATGGGCTGTAAAGTCACACAGCGCCACGCTTCTGTCCCTGGCCAGTCCGTCACCTTGAGCACATTACGGAACCCCTCATCTGAAAAATGGGAATAAAATAAATACTATTTCATTCTTGGCAGAAATGAGAAAATGGCCAGACCCTGAAACCCCCTTTTGTGTTGTGTGGTTCAGACAAGGGCTGCACGGCCCTAGGTCGTCTCCCCAATCTGCGCTCTGGGTGCGTGTGGGAGCAGGAGCTGGGGCGCAGGTTCGCCAGCAAGAGTAGTTAGAAACAATTCGGCTCCCTGACAAGAAAATAACAGGAGCCAGAACCGAGGTCTAGCCCAGGGCCTGGCACATGGTAGGCGCTCAGTAGTCTGTGGAAGGCAGGGAGGGGCCATGCGGTTGAAGAAGGGATTGAGAAGTGTTTAGAGATGGAACGACTGGTCTTGGGGACAGATGAGACAAGGTGTCTGGTAGAAACGTCAGCATTCCCTCCCGGAGTCCCGTCTCATTCTCTGCAATTCCTTCTCCATCACGCACTCCAGGCTGCGAAGACGAGGCGGAGGGCGGAACGCGACCGGCGAGGGGAAGCCGGGGGCCGGTGGAGGCCACCTGGCCGCGGCCGGGAGGTGCCGGGCGGCGGGAAAGGCAGCGCGGCGGGGCGGGAGGCGTGGCCGGCGGGCGCGCGCCTGTGACCGGGACTCCGCGAGGAGGTCTGGGATTGGAGGGGCCCGGCGGAGCCCGCGGGGAGGTGACGCGGCTGCGGAGGTGACGCGTGCGGTCGCGCGCCCCTTCCGGCGCGGGGAGGGCGCTGAAGATCGGGGCCGCTCGGCCGCAGGCCGCCTCCGACGCCGCGGGATGTAGCGCGGGGGACCGCGGCCCCCAGCACAGCCCGCCCGCCCGGCCGTAAGTCTCCCCGGGGCTGCGCTGTGGGCGGGGACTTGGCGGGAGCGCGGGGGCCCCGGGGAACCGGCCCGGGCCTGCGGAGGCGACAGCCGTTGGGGGAACCCGCTCCGACGTGCCGAGAGCCCCGGGCCCCCGCCCTGGAGCCGCCCGGCCTCCGGGCGTCCCGGCGGTGGAGGTTGTAAACATTTCCGGCCCCTCCCACTGCGCGCCGCCTCCGAGGCGGCCTGGGTGCGGTGGGCGCCCGTGCCCTGCTGTCCCCGGCTGTTCCCCGACCCCCGGCAGTCCCGTGAGTACTGCGCCCTTAGCCCCGCGGGGTGGAGATGCCTGGGTTCCCAGGGTCGGGACCAGACCGCCAGAGATAAGCCTGGCCCCGAAGCCGCCGCGCTTGGGGACGGAGGGCTGCGGGCCTAGGTCGCGCACCGCCTCTCAGCGGGGAACACCCGCCCAGGGTGGCTGGGAAGCCCTAAGGTTCCTCGACCAACCATCTTTGGCAGGTCAAGCCGTGACAGTGCCCCCACCTTGATGAGGTGGGAAGGAAGGTTGGTGATCTCTGCAGGGCGAAGGTAATCCTGAAGGCCGAAATGCGGGGCAGAATCTAAGCTACTTTGGGGAGAAATGAAATTTCATTACCTCGCAAATCTAGAACTGATGTATGCTTTCTTCTGTTTAAGAATTTGGGTCTTGAAGCCTTCGATTTTAAGAAAACAGAGAAGTGCTTTTCCCTCGGTTTCTGGTGCTTCGTGGGAGAATGGGAAGCTGACAAGGCCCATTTCAGTTTACACAGTTTCAGATGTCAGAGGAGCACTGGGAGGCCACGGCACTTTGCTAGATTAGCCATAGTATTTCCCTCAAGTAACTTAGAAGAGGGGCTAGAAAATACAGCAGAGAATACATAGGCTGCCATCTTCAAAACAAATGAAGATTATAATGGCTGGCTCTTTTCTGAAATGAAGTAATAGTGGGGTCAGTTCATTGCTTTTCTCTTTTGCTGGTAGTTGGGGAGGCTACATTGGTGCAACTTCGGTTCCTGAGGTTGTGTATTATCTTTATACTGCCAGGAATTTAGAGTGGTGCTAAACAGTCTTCAGTGTCAGCGTTCCCAGCTTGCAGCCACTAAATTTATTTACTCCAGAGGTAACTTTTATGTACCTGTATTGTGATTTGCACTTGGGAAGTCAGTCATAAAAACTGATGTTACCTGTGAAGGCCCATCTTAGGGTAGACCTCCTCAAAACTATACCAAATTGCAGAGTAGAGTCTGAAAGCCTTCTTCTATTCTCAGTGGTCAAGGCTTTGCCAGCAGGTGGGAGAGAATCTCGGAAAAGTAGCAGGAAGCAACATTAATCCACTGATCCCCATTGCTGATTAGAAAAAGTACACCACCTTAGGTGGGCTTTTAGGGTATTTTCAGTTTCTTCAGTCTGGCCTCATTTTACCTTCCCAGGACTCTATGGAAAAATGAATTGTTTACTGCCCTAGGGACTGTGTTCCTTTATGGCTTTGTTCACACCCTGTACCCTCCTCGAATGCCCTGTTTCCATCTCCACCTATCAAAAGCCTTTCGTAAAATCTTCCCCAAAACTTTTCTGATCACTTCAACTAAAGTTGCGCTTTTCTTTTGAATTCCTCCTGCACATAATGGCACTAAGCCTTGTAGTAATGATGTTAGAAAAGTTACTTCCCCCATTCAGAGGCCAGCAACCATTTTCAAGCCTCTGACCCCTCTTTGCCTTGTCCCTGTGGCCACAATACCATGCATATTGTAAGTAATCAATCAGTATTCTCAGATTAATGAAGTATAGAAATTGCCCTTCTTTCTAGGCCAGAACGTGTTTGTTCTCTCTTTCCATAGGAAATTTCCTTTGACTTCTAATGCAAAGCCAAACAAACCCTTTAACACTCCTGCTACATTATCCTGTCCCATCTGCTTGTTATCACACAGGTAAAATAAGCAGTCGTCTTTATATCTAGAAATTTTATTAATTATGGTGAAGTTTTTTTCTTGGACCAGTACTCATCAACGTTGTTATGTCCATTTGTCCCTAATGTCACTTCCTGGACTTTGTTCCTCTCACCATGCTCAAAGTTGATTCCCTTCTTCCTGCTCAGAAATGTTGGGGGCATAGGCTGGGCACGGTGGCTTAGGCCTGTAATTCCAGCACTTTGGGAGGTCAAGGCAGGCAGATCACGAGGTCAGAAGTTTGAGGCCAGTCTGGCTAACGTAGTAAAACCCCGTCACTACTAAAAATGCAAAAAATTAGCCAGGCGTGGTTGTGTGCACCTGTAATCCTAGTTACTCAGGAAGCTGAGGCAGGAGAATCATGTGAACCCGGGTGGCAGAGGTTGCAGTGAGCCAACATCACGCCATTGCACTCCAGCCTGGGTGAGAGTGGGAGACTCAGTCTCGAAAAAAAGAAAAAAAATGTTGGGGACATGAATGATGTTACAAATTTTAAACTTTGTAACTATCTTGGATTGAGAAGATTCTTGAAAGTACCCTCTAGCCAGACCACTTCCATACATGCCTCTAGTTTGCTTTTGTCTCATTAAGCCTTCTGGGGTACATGGTATAAAGTGAGTACTATATTGTGCAATTGTGTTGATCATGTATCTGTAATGTACTTGAAAGATGGACATTAAAAATGGGCTCTCGGCCAGGCGCAGTGGCTCACGTCTGTAATCCAGCACTTTGGGAGGCCGAGGCAGGTGGATCACCTGAGGTCAGGGGTTCGAGACCAGCCTGGCCAACATGATGAAACCCTGTCTCTACTAAAAATACAAAAATTAGCCAGATATCTGGCAGGTGCCTGTAATCCCAGCTACTCGGGAGGCTGAGGCATGAGAATCACTTGAACCTGGGAGGCGGAGGTTACAGTGAGCCGACACCATGCCACTGCACTCCAGCCTGGGGGAATAGAGCAAGACTCTTGTCTAAAAAAAAAAAAAGCAGGGGCTGGCATTGGCTGGATATGGTGGCTCACAGCTGTAATCCCAGCACTTTGGGTGGCTGATGCAGTAGGATTGCTTGAGTCCTGGAGTACTAGGCTGCAGTGATCACACCACTGCACTCCACCCTGGGTCACAGAGCAAGATCCTGACTCCAAAAACAAACAAAAAAAGAAACAGAAAAAATGGGCTGGCATTAAAATCCTTCATATGCCTGTATACTGTTTACTTTTTTTTGTCATGATATTAGGAAAGTTTGCCTGTTAGGGCTTAAAAACACCCCTTCAGCCAGGCACAGCGGCTCATGCCTGTAATCCCAGCACATTGGGAGGTTAAGGCAAGGGGAATCCAAACTAGCCTGGACAACATAGTGAGACCTTGTCTGTACAAAAAATAAACAAAATTAGCTGGGCATGGTGGCACATGCCTGTAGAACCAGTTACTAAGACTTGGAAAGTTGAGGTAGAAGGACTGCTTGAGTCTGGCAGGTTGAGGCTGCAGTGAGCTGAGATGACACCACTGCACTGCAGCTTGGGTGACAGAACAAGACCCTTTCTTTTTTTAAAAAAAAAAAAATTTCTGTTGGGGAAGAGCTACAAAGGAAGTCAGATTGTTTTTTCACTGGGAGGCTTGACATCAAGTAGGAGAGCTGAGGCCCTATTGCTGCAGTTTGGTGATTTCAAGCATGTGCCTTTGCTTTGATTCATATTTCTCCAACACAGCTGTGAAACTGTCCTCCTAACAGACAGTAGATGGGAGAAAGCTGGCTATGTTCTTTATCTATACTGCTAGACTGCTCTTGCTTTAGCGCAAGAATCAAGCTAGGCATGGATAGAACTTAGCCATAGAATCTCTAAAGGCCTGGGAACCCCAGATTAAAAACTCTCAGAAGCTTTGTGTCTTTGCCTCCAGGAAAGGTGTGCTGTAGCCTAGAAAACTTGGGAATTGGTTCACAGTATAAATGTCTCCAAAACCTGTAAGTGAAATAACTCTCCAGTTAACTGACTGGTGATTAAAAATCAATCTTTTCCCCAAGTTTGACACAGGATTATCTTATTTATAGGAGCAAAAACGTCTCCCTGCTCCACAGCTTTACTCTAATATCCTAGGTTTATCCAGTTGGAAAGCTTAGTGGTAAAGGTTTATTAGCTAGAGTTGAAGAAATCCCATCAAAAATGCACTCAGTGGAGTTTGGCTCAAATAGAATTTGCAATATTGGGTGTGGCAAGCTTGAGGGGAAAGGCATTTCCTCTAAAACACATAAGGATATAGAAAGCTGCCAGAAAGTTGGCTCTCCTAGGATCACTCTAACACCTTAAGGATTTGTTCTGATTTTACATCATAGACTAAAACACACTTGTAATTCTCCATTGTATGTTAGTGGTCCATCCCAGAGAAGTGGTATTTTCAGATCCTGGTATTTGCTCTTCTTTCTTGCCAGACATCCGATCCCTATCTCTCCCTTTCCTGTCTCTGTGTTGCTACAGTTTAGAAGACCAAACTGGACAATGGACTTTGCTTACTATGCTGACATGATCTCCATTGACCTCCATTGTATGTACTTTAATGCATGATGATATATTTTGTGTGATGAGTTGTAGCTTACTATTAGTTGTGGTATAGGTACTAGTGATAAATGAGCCAGAGGGAATCAGAAGAATTAACAGAAAATGATTTGGACTGAAAAGGGAAAAGACTGTGGTGATAGCCAGAAGACTTGAGGGCATGAAAGCTTTTCAGATCAAATGATGAAATTAGTAAGAATGCCAAGCTGGATTCTGCGTATGATCTTTGGACCCTAACTGCCCAACTTAAAGTTTCTCTATATTATTCTCATTGCCTCTACTACAATAGTTACATAGCACTCAAAATAACTGAATTTAGTGTGTGACCATTCTAGTTGAGGGGTTCTCTCTCTCCACTGCCCTCCTGGAGCAATCAAATTTTATCACTTATTTTGTGCATATCACAAACTACCTATGTTATTTGGCTCTTTGAAAACAATGCTATAACTTGTTCTACTTGAATTTTGGACAGTATCTTAGAATGCCTTAGGGTGCCCGTCCTAAATACACTTGCTAAATATTCAATGAATGTGTTGACTTACTCTGGGGAAAGGGATAAAAGAAGCCACCACAAGGACAAGAAAATGCACATGAACCCTTATCTACATGGCTAGAAGCTAAGTCGTATGCTCTCAAGCTGGAATCTGCCCCCTTCATTCATTCGTCTTGAAATGCGGGTTCTAACCAAAATAAGAGATACTATGATTGTATAATCCATATATTGCATCCCAGAACCAGAATTTTGTTTTGTTTTGTTTCATTTCTGCCTTGGTGGCCTGATCTAAATTACTGCCAACAGTATTCCAAGCTAAGTGTGCCCCTCTTTTCAGACTTATTAAAGATGCCCAAAACTGTTTGTGTTTTTTGCTCACGATATAAAATATTTTTTAGTAAAGCTGTTGATTGAGTAGTACTTCACTTTGAGGAAATACGTTTTGAGGTCAGCCTATTGAGAAAGATTTCCCAGCGTCCCTTCTCAAGATGGCTTGCCCATCTTCAAGGTTTTCAGAAGCCTCCAGTTTCCTGTTCTCCTTGAGTGCAGTTGTTCACTGTGATTGTGTGCTGGCATCTCATTAGAGCCTTGCACATTTATAGGAAGAGGAACTGTCTATGTGTTGACACCATATAAAGGTCTGCTGTATAGCAAGTTAATTGTTTTTGTCTCTCTTGGACTAGATTTGCCGGTTGCTTTCAGCTGTGCCTGTGGGTTGAGCATAGCATGACTCACAACTGTTTAGAAGTTTGAGGATTGCCCTTACCTGATGTGTTAGTAAGTGTTCTCCAGAAAGAACCAATAGGATACATACATATGGATAGAGGGGGGATTTATTAGGGGTATTGGCTCATGAAGTTATGGCGGCTAAGTCCCACAATATGCCATCTGCAAGCTAGATAACCAGGGAAGTCAGTGACTGTCTCAGTTTAAGGCTGAAGGCCTGAGAACTCAAAGGGCTATTGGTGCATGTCCCAGAATCTCAAGGCAGAAGAACCTGGAGTTTCTGATATCCAAGGGCAGGAAAAGAAGGGTGTCCCAGCTCCAGGAGGGAAGAAGAGAGTGGGGAGAGAGAGAGAAAGAAGAGTTTGGGGGTCAAAGAAAGAGATTTATAATCCCTGAGAAGGAATTGTGATTACTCTTAGATAAAAAACAACACAAGATATCAAAGATATTTGTATATATAGTGAACAGCCCTGGATGATATAGTGTTGCCCTCAGAAGCAAAGTTATGTTTACTGTCCACTATAGAACACTGGGGCTCCCTAAGCTTAAGTTTCCTCTCCCGGAATGCAACCCATTCCACGCACAGGTGTTACCTGGCCCTCCCTGCATTGCAATGTGGTTATTTGGGTTTGGGTGGGGCTTGGGTAACCAATGCAAGAATATGCTAATATTCTGGCTACTGCTATTGCTATAACTCATCAAGTCCTTAGTACGGAGAGTGGGGGTGGGGAAAGTACTAATAATCTATAGCATCGTGGAAATCTTTGGAAACTTTCTTCCTCTTTCCCTCTTTTTTTATTTGCATTTTTCTGAGGCTTGATTAAAGACCACTGCTAAAGTCCAACCCAGGAAAATCCAAAGTGTCTGAGATTTTTCCTAGAAAATGGAATTCTGGTTTTTCTGATTTTCTGTGTGCCTGTCTCTAGTTTCTCAAATACTCGTTTGAGTGGGGCTTAGATTATGGGTTGTGGTGGTTGAGACAAGTTCTTGCGGAGCTAGTTATTAGGCATGTGTGTGGCAAAGGGCAAACTGGGGCTGCCTCCTCGTCTTTCGCTTCCTGCTTCCAGGTAAGTGCTTGCTTGCTTGCAGGACAGATTGTGATGAAAGCTTGTTATCCCAGGGTTGAACTCAGGCTATAATCCTATAATAGAATTAGTAGACTTTGCAGAGAAATTAACCACTAGGCATCTGTTCCACAACCAAGTTCCTTTTGTATGTATGACACATTTATCACAGCATTTGTAGATAATTGTAGATAAAGCCTAGCTGAGTTCAGTTGGCATTTAATTCATTTCTAAGTCTGGATGATGTTATTGTAATTGCAGCCAGATGTTGGGTTTATATTTTTGTTCCTCAATCTCAGAGCTAGACTTTTCTTGGGCAGAGTGAGGTTTGGGAGTGGTAGGGGAGACTCTTCTCACTAAACGGTTCCATACCTGTAGGAGGGAGTTGAGGGTGGGTGGCTGGTTTTCTGTGGTGAAGTTGGATGCAATAACCATAGATCATTTGAAGGCAAGCAACTTAATTGTTGTATTTTCAGCCTTACCTATAAGATGAGTGAGGTTCTGGGTAAAGGTTGACATTAAAGAGGGAGGACAGGAATAGATTTCATTTAAGCAATTAACTGTTCTTTAGAATTGGATACAGTATATGGGTTGGTTAGTTTCTTATTCAATATTAGATTATAGAAATGAAATGCAAGAGGAATAAATTGTCAATCCTTCATGTTTGTGTTTGCTTTTAGTGTCAACCATCACAGGGAGATCTCTGCCCCCTGGGGCTGAGAGACCCCAACCTTTCCCCAAGCTGAAGCTGCAGGGTATTGAGGTACCAGCCAGATGTCTTCCCACAAAGGATCTGTGGTGGCACAGGGGAATGGGGCTCCTGCCAGTAACAGGGAAACAGACACGGTGGAACTGGCTGAACTGGGACCCCTACTAGAAGAGAAGGGCAAACGGGTCATCTCCAACCCTACCAAAGTAAGTCATCGTCCCAGGAGTCATCCCTTGTCCATCTTCTCTCCCTAGAACTCTGTCACTTTCTCTTTTTTTAGGATCTCACTGTCCAAAAGGAGGAACATAGCCTGGAAATCTCTCTACCCAAGTCCCTATGATACCATTCTCGTTTTCTGTTTTCCTCATTGTAAGCTTTTGGGAGTTCACTCATCTTGGTAACCCTAGTACTTAGCACAAGGCCTACGGTCCAATAAATAACCTGTAAATGTCTGAATGAATGAAGGAAGCAGTCAGTTAGGACGACGTTCAATTTCATGTAACGCACAAAAATCCTTATAGCTTCGATAAGACAGAAGTCTCTCAAGCAAAAGCATTTTAGAAGTAATCAATCCAGGACTGATATGGAGGCTCCAGCACTGTCAGGCACCTGTGTTGCTCCCCCATCACTCTTAATATGTTGCCCACATTCTACCCACCATGGAAGAAAAAGAAGGAGAAGAAAGGCCCTCTCTTTCCTTTTTATTTTTATTGAGACAAGGTCTTGCCATGTTGCCCAGGCTGGTCTTGAACTCCTGGGCTCAAGTGATCCACCTGCCTCAGCCTCCCAAAGTGTTGGAATTACAGGTGTGAGCCACTGTGCCCAGCCAACTCTTTCCCTTTTAACAGGACTGTCAGGGCTGGCACAGGGCTCACATCTGTAATCCCAACACTTTGAGAGGCCGAGGCGGATGGATCACCTGAGGTCCAGAATTCAAGACCAGTCTGACCAACATGGTGAAATCCTGTCTCTACTAAAAATACAATAATTAGCTGAGTGTGGTGGCACATGCCTGTAATCCCAGCTACTTGGGAGGCTTAGGCAGAAGAATTGCTTGAACCTGGGAGGCAGAGGTTGCAGTGAGCTGAGATCGTGCCATTGCACTCTAGCCCGGGTGACAAGAGTGAAACCCTGTCTCAGAAAAACAAAGCTAAATAAAGGAACTATCAGGAAGTACCTCCTAACACTTGGGCCAGAACTTACTTACATAACTATATTCAGCTGCAGTGGAAGTTAGAAAATGCAGCCTGAGTAAAACTGCAGTAACACTATCACCCTGAACAAAACCATGGACTTACTTAGGAAGAGAGAGAATGGATATTGGGGTAGGCTGGCTGGAAGCTATAGCACAAAATCAAAGATGGACCATGTGTTTACCAGGGACCATCAACAACAGGAGAGGTATAGCCCAGAGAAGGAGTTGAACTGCCAGACTCTCTATAGCCATGATTCAGAGCCGTGGGATAGAGAGAGAAAGTTCTCTCCCTTTCACAGCCAAGTGCTCTCCTGGGTGCACTCTTTTGGGCCCTGGAGTCAGTACTGCTGTTTTCCACCGAACCAGTTCTGAGGCCCTAGTACTCCTGGGAGCTGCTATAGATAAAAAGTTTCAGTCATGACAGCATCCCTGGAATCATTGAACAGGGAACTCTGAGCAGAACTATTGTTAAGGAAATCTCTGAGCCTCTGTGTCTTTTTCACTATTTTGAAAATGTAGGCTGGGTGTGGTGGCTCATGCCTGTAATCCCAGCACTTTGGGAGACCAAGGTGGGAGGATAACTTGAGGTCAGGAGTTTGAGACCAGCCTGACCAACATGGTGAAACCCCATATCTACTAAAAATATAAAATTAGCTGGGCGTGGTGGTGGGTGCCTGTAATCTCTGCTACTCGGAAGGCTGAGGCATAAAAATTGCTTGAACTCAGGAGGCAGAGGTTGCAGTGAGCAGAGATCGCACCACTGTACTCCAGCCTGGGCAACAGAGGGAGATTCCATCTCAAAAAAAGAAGAAGAAGGAGGAGGAGGACCAGGCATGGTGGCTTATGCTTGTAATCCCAGCACTTTGGGAGGCCAAGGCAGGCACATCACCTGAGGTCAGAAGTTCAAGACTAGCTTGGCCAACATGGTGAAACCCTCTCTCTACTAAAAATACAAAAATTAGGCTGGGTGCTGTGGCTCACGCCTGTAATCCAAGCACTTTGGAGGCCAAGGCTGGCGAATCACCTGAGGTCAGGAGTTCAAGACCAGCCTGACCAACATGATGAAACCCCGTCTTTAAAAAAAAAAAATACAAAAATTAGCTGGGTGTGGTGGCATACACCTGTAATCCCAGCTAATTGGGAGGCTGAGGCAGGAGAATAGCTGGAACCTGGGAAGCGGAGGTTTCAGTGAGCCAAGGTCGCACACTGCACTCCAGCATGGCAACAGAGTGAGACCCTGTCTTGAGAAAGAAAGGGGCGGGGGTGGAGAGAGAGAGAGAGGAAAAAAAAAAAAGAAAGAAAGAAAATGTAATGGTCTAAAAGAGAGAACTATTTGGGAAACAGGGGGATGTTGAGAACCACTATCCTAGAGAAAAGGATGTTATTCAGTGCCTAGAGCTGGTGTGCTAATCTTGCATTCCTCCAGTGCTAGTCTGTGAGAGTCCTTCTCTTACGCACTGCACATGGAATGTTCACTGCAGCATTTATGAAGGATTTATAAGTCTCTAGTGTTGTAAACTCAGTATGTGTGCTTTTGGAGAAGAGACCACAAGACGCTCTGTAGGAAAGAGGCTGGGCAGAAAGTGTTAGGTTTGGATTTTTCTGGGTCTCTCTGCTCTGGCATAGTACAGTTTATGAGATGACTCCCTGGATTGTTGGGTTTTTTTCCCCCACAGGCTGAAGAAGAGCAAACATGCCCAGTGCCCCAGGAAGAAGAGGAGGAGGTGCGGGTACTGACACTTCCTCTGCAAGCCCACCACGCCATGGAGAAGATGGAGGAGTTTGTGTACAAGGTGTGGCCAGTGAGCTTCTGTCCTGGAAGGGGAAGGGCAGCAGGCCTGTCTGGGATGTTCCTAGCCAGCAAGCTTGCACTGGGTCGAAGAACTTTTACTCCTGGGAAGGAGTGGATTTGTTTTTTTGGTTAAGATGAGGTAAATCAACGTGAAGCTGGCTAAGTTTTTACTGCCTACTCTGTGAGGCATTGTTCAAAATATATTCTTAAAACAGGGGTTCTTTTCTATGCAAGGGGTCCCTTTGGAAGTCATCAAAATATTTCAGTATGACAGTAATATGAGTGCCTTTATTAACACATTAAATATGCATTAACGGTGAGCACTCATGTATTTTATTAAAGTTTGCAATTTCTGAGTAGTGATAGAGTATTTTGAGATACCTGCAGGACTCATGTGTGAAAGTATCTGATTTCTTTTGAAAGTATCTGATTTCTATTGGTGACAAAGCCACAAGTTCTACTAATACTGTGGTTTGTTGCCTATGCTCATAATTGAGGAAAATGCTCAATTCGCTTAGAGCTAAATGGAAATACAGTTTTTTTCCGTCATTCCTCAGATCCTGTCCATAGTACGTGGATCCTAGATTAAGAACCCCCTACTCAAGGCCGGACACAGTGGCTCAAGCCTGTAATCCCAGCACTTTGGGAGGCTGAGGCGGGCGGATCACAAGGTCAAGAGATCGAGACCATCCTGGTCAACATGGTGAAACCCTGTCTCTATTAAAAATACAAAAAATTAGCTGGGCATGATGGGGTATGCCTGTAATCCCAGCTACTCAGGAGGCTGAGGCAGGAGAATTGCTTGAACCCAGGAGGCGGAGGTTGCAGTGAGCCGAGATCGCGCCATCGCACACCAGCCTGGGTAACAAGAGCAAAACTCCGTCTCAAAAAAAAAAGAAAGAACCACCTACTCTTAAAAGACACAGGGCCAGGGCATGGTGGCTCACGCTTGTAATCCCAGCACTTTGGGAAGCCGAGACAGGCAGATCACAAGGTCAGGAGATCGAGACCATCCTGGCTAACACTGTGAAACCGTGTCTCTACCAAAAATAAAAAATTAGCTGGGCATGGTGGCACACGCCTGTAGTCCTGGCTACTTGGGAGGCTGAGGCAAGAGAATCCCTTGAACCCAGGAGGCAGAGGTTGCAATGAGCTGAGATCACACCACTGCACTCCAGCCTGGGCAACAGAGCAAGACTCTGTCACCAAAAAAAAAAAAAAAAGACATGGTAAGAACTTGGAATCTAATTGAGGGAGGGAATGGTACAGGAGGTTGCAGTGAGCCAGGATTGCACACTGCACTCCAGCATGGGACATGAGGTAGAATCTCCTGAAGAGGGGTAAAGGAGGGATCTGTATGTTTCTTAAAACTATGTTTATGAGCCGAGTGCAGTGGCTCACGCCTGTAATCACAGCACTTTGGGAGGCCAAGGTGGGTGGATCACAAGGTCAAGAGATTGAGACCATCCTGGCCAATATGGTGAAACCCCGTCTGTACTAAAATACAAAAATTAGCTGGGCATGGTGGTGCATGCCTGTAGTCCCAGCTACTTGGGAGGCTGAGGCAGGAGAATTGCTTGAACCCAGGAGGCGGAGGTTGCAGTGAGCCGAGATCACACCACTGCACTTTAGCCTGGCGCCTAGCGAGTGCACTCCAGCCTGGGCGACAGAGCAAGACTCTGTCTCAAAAAAAAAACTATGTTTATAATTTTTTTTTGTTTTTATTCAGTATATCAACTTTGAAATTTCAAGTATCCTAAAGGAGGTTGTACCATATTTTCTTGAAAGGTTGAGAAACACTGACCTAAAACTTCTCCATATAAACTAACATGAAATAAAGACAAAAGGATTTTTTTTTTTTTTCCTGAGACAGAGTCTCGCTCTGTCACCCAGGCTGGAGTGCAGTGGCGCAATCTCAGCTCACTGCAACCTCCGCCTATCCCAGGTTCAATCGGTTCTCCTGCCTCAGCCTCCCAAGTAGCTGGGATTAAAGATGCCTGCCACCATGCCTGGCTAATTTTTTGTATTTGTAGTAGAGATGGGGTTTCACCATATTGGTCAGGCAGGTCTTCAACTCCTGACCTCAGGTGATCCACCTGCCTCAGCCTCCCTTAGTGCTGGGATTACAGACCTGAATTTTTTTTTTTTTTTTTTTTTTCTTTTTTTGAGACAGAGTCTTGCTCTGTCACCAGGCTGGAGTGCAGTGTCACAGTCTTGGCTCACTACAACTTCCACCTCCCAGGTTTAAGGAATTCTCCTGCTTCAGCCTACTGAATAGCTGGGATTGTAGCTGCGCACCACCACAGCTGGCTAATTTTTGTATTTCTAGTAGAGATGGGGTTTCACCATGTTGGTCAGGCTGGTCTTGAACTCCTGACCTTGTGATCTGCCTGCCTCGGCCTCCGAAAGTGCTGGGATTAATAGGCTAGAGCCACTGTGCCCAGTCTGATTTTTTTTTTTTTTTTTTTTTTAATGTTCAAAATATGAATCAGGACTCTACTAGCCCTGTTCTTGCTATGTCTTGGATATCTCCCGGTCCAGGCTGGTTCTCCTCTATTACTTAGAACCATTCAGAGCCTGATTGACATCTTCCTAGACTGGTTCTCCATCATTGCTTGTCCTTGGGGAAGGTACTATTCTCCAGTGCCCTACCTAAAGAAAGTGTATATATTCTAGGTCTGGGAGGGACGTTGGAGGGTCATTCCATATGATGTGCTCCCTGACTGGCTAAAGGACAATGACTATCTGCTACATGGCCATAGACCACCCATGCCCTCTTTTCGGGCTTGCTTCAAGAGTATCTTCCGCATCCATACAGAAACTGGCAACATCTGGACCCATCTGCTTGGTGAGTGATTTGGAAGGGTAAAAGTTGAATTTGTTGTCTCCCAAACTGCCAAGGGATTATAGAGCCAAACAAAGGTGCTCAGATTGATTGTCAGCTGGAGTTCTGTCTTTAAACTGCTAGTGACTTTAAGCTAATGACCTTGGTTGACCCTTGATCACTGATCTTTAAAACTGAGAGTAGGGCCGGGCGCGGTGGCTCACGCCTGTAATCCCAGCACTTTGGGAGGCCGAGGCGAGTGGATCACGAGGTCAAGAGATCGAGACCATCCTGGTCAACATGGTGAAACCCCGTCTCTACTAAAAATACAAAAAAATGAGCTGAGCATGGTGGCACGTGCCTGTAATCCCAGCTACTCGGGAGGCTGAGGCAGGAGAATTGCCTGAACCCAGGAGGCGGAGGTTGCGGTGAGCCGAGATCGCGCCATTGCACTCCAGCCTGGGTAACAAGAGCGAAACTCCGTCTCAAAAAAAAAAAAAAAAAAAAAAAAAACTGAGAGTAAAAGGCCTAGAAACCAAAGAAATTGGAACTGTATATTCTCTTGTGATCCCTGGCAGAACTTTTCTAGGTGGAGGCAATTCCTCCTACTTCGTAATTTCCCACTGTAAAAGTAAAATGTCAACATTTCAAAAAGTGGTCCTTTTGTGCCACTTTCTTTGAAACGTTTGACTGCAGTTACACAGCTAAACCTCACAGCCTTCTGATTTTTTTTTTTTTTTTGAGACGGAGTTTCGCGCAGAGTGCAATGGCGCGTTCTCGGCTCACCGCAACCTCCACCTCCTGGGTTCAGGCAATTCTCCTGCCTCAGCCTCCTGAGTAGCTTGGATTACAGGCATATGCCACCATGCCCAGCTACTTTTTTGTATTTTTAGTAGAGACGGGGTTTCACCATGTTGACCAGGATGGTCTCGATCTCTTGACCTTGTGATCCACCCGCCTCGGCCTCCCAAAGTGCTGGGATTACAGGCGTGAGCCACCGCGCCCGGCAGCCTTCTGATTTTTTAAAAAATTTCAGTAGCTCTTGGGGTAGGGGGTTTTGGTTACATGGATGAATTATATAGTGGTGAATTCTGAGATTTTAATGTACCCATAACCTGAGTAGCGTACATTGTACCCAATATGTAGTTTTTCTATCCCACACCCCTACCTCATCCTCCCACTTCTGAGTCTCCAAAGTCCATTATATCACTCTGTGCCTTTGCATACTCATAGCGTAACTCCCACTTATAAGTGAGAACATGTGCTGTATTTGATTTTTCACTCCTAAGTTACTTAGAATAGTGGCCTTCAGCTTCATCCAGCTTGCCGCAAAAGACATTATTGCATTCCTTTTTATGGCTGAGTAGTATTCCATGGTGTATATATACCACATTTTCTTTATTCACTCATTGGTCAATGGGCACGTAGGTTGGTTCCGTATCTTTACAGTTGTGAATTGTGCAAGAAACACACATGTGCATGTGTCTTTCTCATAGGACTTCTTTTCCTTTGGGTAGATACCTAGTAGTGGGATTCATGGATCAAATGGTAGCTCTATTTTTAGCTCTTTAGGGAATCTCTATACCTTTTTCCATAGAGGTTGTATAAATTTATAATTTACATTTCCACAGGTAATATGTATTCATTCCCCTTTCACCACATCCATGCCAACATCTGTTGTGCTTTTTTGACAGTTTAATAATGACCATTCTTGTAGGAGTAAGGTGGTATCTAACTGTGCTTTTAATTTGTGTTTCCCTGATGATTAGTGATGTTGCCCACAGCTCACTGATTCAGAGTGTCAGCTGTCACGTGTACACGTTCCCTTTTTCCTTACCGGTTTTTTCTTTTTTTTATTTTACCCTCCTGCAGGTTTTGTGCTGTTTCTCTTTTTGGGAATCTTGACCATGCTCAGACCAAATATGTACTTCATGGCCCCTCTACAGGAGAAGGTGGTTTTTGGGATGTTCTTCTTGGGCGCAGTGCTCTGCCTCAGCTTCTCCTGGCTCTTTCATACCGTTTATTGTCATTCAGAGAAAGTCTCTCGGACTTTTTCCAAGTGAGTGGAAAGAACAGCATAGGAAAAGACAGTGCACTGTTGTCACATCTTGAGACCCCAGTGCTGACTGGGTGCTAGGAGCTTGTGTCACTCCTAAAGGTTTCTTGGTTTGCCAGAGGAAAGGCTTTCTGTTTTGTGGGGATACTGGGGTGATGAAGCCTCTTAAACACTTCATGAACAGACTTACTGCATCCTCCTCAACAGATGGAGACCAATTGTGGAATATACTTTCTACCTGGAAAATACTATCTTTTGTGAGCCTTGGAATGCCAGTAGGCTGCTTTCCAAGACCTTGTACCCTTTCCTACAGTAACTTACTGTTGGCCCAAGCCAAAGTGGGGTGTGGTAAATAGTCTAGGCTTCGTTCTGCTGGTGCTCCTACTCAACAGTCAGCTAAAGCTTATCTTTGCTCCCCACACATTGCTGGAAGCTCCAGATGTCCATCACTGTGTGCTTTCTCTCTTCCCCAGCTGTGAGCCTGGGGTTCTATTTGTTTGCTTGTTTTTGTTGTTATTGTTGGTTTTGGTGGTGACGGTGGTGTATTATTTTGTTTTTCCTAATAACACCAGTAAGAAGGGTACATGTTCCTCATTTAAAAAGTCAACTAAGACAGAACAAGCTAGAATACCCCTTAATACTACCTCCAATTTAAGAATTCTGGTTTTTAGAACTCATTCTTTCAGAATAGGAGAATTTTCAAAGCCCTTCCTGAGTGTGATGCTGGGAACCAGCTGGATTGTGATGGAATTTCTAAACTCAAATGTGTACCAGGGGAGATACAGCTGTTCACTAGTAAGGGAAAGGGATAAGAGTTTTGAGTGGGGACTCTTAGAGACTTTTCCATTGTAAAATCAAAGTTACCTTGTGGAATTTTAATCCAGAATACAGGATAGAGTGTATGGGAAATGAGGGGATGGTTAAATCTGGGAGCAGGCAGAGAACAAAGAGAGCTAGTTAAGTGAACCATACAAATTCATTTTGCTCACTGATTCATTTCATGTTTGTGGTTTTTTTTAGACTGGACTATTCAGGGATTGCTCTTCTAATTATGGGGAGCTTTGTCCCCTGGCTCTATTATTCCTTCTACTGCTCCCCACAGCCACGGCTCATCTACCTCTCCATCGTCTGTGTCCTGGGCATTTCTGCCATCATTGTGGCACAGTGGGACCGGTTTGCCACTCCTAAGCACCGGCAGACAAGAGCAGGTAGGTCAGAAGACATACGTAAACCTCAGAGGTTTTGGATCTTAGGCCTGATAGGCTCAAACCTATCTGAGCCTTAAGGTTTGCAGCTTGAGAACCCCACCCAAATCCTGATTTGTGTTTCAGAACTTTCAAAACAGCATCAATTTCAAAGCTCAATTCTCCCCCAAGTGTGGTACTGTTTCAGTAGAATGCGAGGACAGATCATTACCGAGCTGGTCAATTAACTGCAAGCAGGGATATAGCTACTCTTACACACGGTTTGTGACAGTTTAAAAATGTAGCAAGCACAGTAATTTTAGTGACCCAAGTCCCAAGCACTCAGACCCAGGGATTAAAATTAAACACTCAGGGCATGGAATGCTTGGTTTGGCGAATGAAAATACCTTGACCATAAACACTGGTAACAAAGTAATAGCTACAAGCATAAACATCTATGTGTTGTCTCACCTCATCTGGACTCTTATTTTAAGCTTTTATTACTTGCAGCAACACCACCAATTACCGCTAGTCTTTAGCCCCTTTGCAATTAATATCTGCTATGTTTTAACCTTCAGTTAAAATAATTAAATGTTGGCCAGTGCGGTGGCTTATGCCTGTAATCCCAGCGCTTTGGGAGGCTGAGGAGGGGGGATCACTTGAGGTCAGGAGTTTGAGACCAGCCTGGCTGACATGGTGAAACCCTGTCTCTACTAAAAATATAAAAATTAGCCAATGTTTTGGCAGGTGCCTGTAATCCCAACTACTCGAGAGGCTAAGGCAGGAGAATCACTTGAACCCGGGGGACGGAGGTTGCAGCGAGCCAAGATCACACCACTGCACTCCAGCTTGGACAACAGAGCGAGACTCTATCTCAAAAAAGAATTAATAATAATAATAAAATATTTATCAAGCACTAGCCACATGCCATGCACTGTGCTTAAACAAGGGTATCTACAAAGATGGAGAGGTGGCCCCTGCCCTTCGGTTACCTGTAGTGTAATGGTGTTGAGACAAGGACCCGTTCTTCCCTTGCTCTTGCCTTATCTGTGTGTCTCAGCAGCTACAGGATAACTGCTAAGCTGGGTTTATCTGTCTGCTTGGGAGGTCAGAGTCCTGGTTATGTGAGACTTCTGTGATCTTAACAGGAAGCCTGTCCTACGCTTCTCTGACTTGGTAGCCAACTGAAGCCTCGCCGTCTAAGTTGTGTACCCAAGTGAGCCATCAAAGGGTCTTGACACATCATTGTTACCTAAATCCGTGACAGACAATTCGAATATGAGATGTTTGTTCTTAGTGCTCCTTAAAAGCTAGTAAGCACTTAAGACAGCTTCTTCCCCTTGACGACACAGTAGAAATACCTGCTGTTATCCATCTTGTAGCTAAGTTTCCTAAACATGTACTGTTCATCCAGAAATAGCTAACGATCATAAACATTTGAATTGCAGAGTAAGACAGCAGTGCCTTCCATGTGCTGGCTGTTTCCTTGCTTGACAGTCTGATGTCTGTTCCGTTCAGGGGTGTTCCTGGGACTTGGCTTGAGTGGTGTCGTGCCCACCATGCACTTTACTATCGCTGAGGGCTTTGTCAAGGCCACCACAGTGGGCCAGATGGGCTGGTTCTTCCTCATGGCTGTGATGTACATCACCGGAGCTGGCCTTTATGCTGCTCGAATTCCTGAGCGCTTCTTTCCTGGAAAATTTGACATATGGGTAAGAAATGAGTCTTCCAGCAGGGCCTTTGATGGTGAGTGAGCAGCCCAAAGTTAAAGGTCTGAGGAAAAGGTGGTAAGAGACTGGGATCGTGTAGTGTTAGGAGGTACATACACATACATTGGAGGAAAATTGTCAGTATTAACACTTTGGTGTGTCTCTCTGACAAGGACTGTGTTTTTAAAACTTTTAAATGTACCACTTTTATGATATTAACATATTGGTTTAATTAAGGAGAAACTGGAAGGAGTAAATGCTTTCTCATATTTGTTTCTCATTCCTCTGTGCAATCCTAAAGGCTCTTCTCTTTTTATTTCTGCAGTTCCAGTCTCATCAGATTTTCCATGTCCTGGTGGTGGCAGCAGCCTTTGTCCACTTCTATGGGGTCTCCAACCTTCAGGAATTCCGTTATGGCCTAGAAGGTGGCTGTACTGATGACACCCTTCTCTGAGCCTTCCCACCTGCGGGGTGGAGGAGGAACTTCCCAAGTGCTTTTAAAAATAACTTCTTTGCTGAAGTGAGAGGAAGAGTCTGAGTTGTCTGTTTCCAGAAGAAACCTCTTAGAGAATTCAGTACCGACCAAGCTTCAGCCCACTTTCACACCCACTGGGCAACAAACTTGCCATTTCCATTCTCCCGGCTGGGGATGGGGCATGGTCAAACTTAGCCGTCCCCTCGTCAGCAGTCACCCTCCTCAGCAAGGCACCTGCCGGCTCCTCACAGAGACACTACTTTGAAACTCACGTTGAGATTTTATCCTCCCCTCCAACCATTTTGGGAAAATGATGGACTGGGACTCTTCAGAAATTCTGTCTTTTTTCTGGAAGAAAATGTCCCTCCCTTACCCCCGTCCTTACTTTGTATCCTGGCTTATAACAGGCCATCCATTTTTGTAGCACACTTTTCAAAAGCAATTATATACCCTGGTCCCATCCTTCTAGGGCCTGGATCTGCTTACAGAGCAGGAAGAATAAAGCCACCAACTCTTACCTAGCCCAGCTAATCATGGAAGTGTGTCCAGGCTTCAAGTAACTTGAGTTTTAATTTTTTTTTTTTCTTGGCAGAGTAATGTAAAATTTAAATGGGGAAAGATATTTAATATTTAATACTAAGCTTTAAAAAGAAACCTGCTATCATTGCTATGTATCTTGATGCAAAGACTATGATGTTAATAAAAGAAAGTACAGAAGACACTTGGCATTCAAAGATTTCACATGTATGGTCTTGATTATTTGCACACAACTCCAAAAGATTAAGTAAGACCAGTGATAATTTCAGATTCTCCTGAGGCACAAATTTGAATCACAGGCATTGACAGGGTGGTACCTGCAGGCAATAAATGAACCCAACTGAACTCCTAGCATCTGTTCCCCAATGTGGCTCTTTTTAAATGTAATTATTGCATGGACTATCTTTTTTAATTTTTTTTTTCATGGAGCCATTTGGAAAAAATAGGCCATCTTGTTAAATCAGTATGCGATAGTAGTGTTCAATGATTAAAAGATTCTCAGGGCCGGGTGTGGTAGCTCATGCCTGTAATCCCAGCACTTTGGGAGGCTGAGGCAGGTGGATTGGTTGAGGCCAGGAGTTTGAGACCAGCCTAGCCAACATGGTGAAACCCCGTCTTTACTAAAAATACAAAAATTAGATGGATGTGGTGGTAAGCACCTATAATCCCAGCTACTCAGGAGGCTAAGGCACAAGAATCACTTGAACCTGGGAGGTAGAGGTTGCAGTGAGCTGAGATCACACCATTGCACTCTGGCCTGGGCAGCAGAGCAAGACTCTGTCTCAAAAAATAGTAGCAATAGGCCAGACACTGAGGCTCGCACCTGTAATCCCAACGCTTGGGGAGGCCAAGGTGGGTGGATCTGAGGTCAGGAATTCAAGAACAGCCTGGCCAAGATGGTGAAACCCTGTCTCTACTAAAACAAAAACTAGCTGGGCGTGGTGGCAGGTGCCTCAGGAGGCTAAGGAAGAGAATTGCTTGAAACTGGGAGGCAGAGGTTACAGTGAGCCAAGATCGTGCCACTGCACTCCAGCATGGGTGACAGAGCAAGACTCCATCTAAAAACAAAAAAACTAACAGTAATAATAATTAGAAGATTATCAAAAGTGTTAAGATATATCCCAGAGTTTAAGGATATATCCCACGTTGCCTAAGATTGCCTCATCCAGGGGTCATTCCATGCCTTTCAATGCTATTGTGAATTGTACTCAACCTAACATGACATTAGATAGCACAGTGATCATTTCTCAGCGAATGCAGGCAGTTTAAGAGCAGTCTTCTCAAGTTAAAGTTGGGTTCACATCAAGGATCAAGTTTCTAAACTGGAAGAATAAATGATCCTTTTATAAAAATAATTCACCTACACAAACAGGAAAAGTTTCTCTGCCTCAAGTGGTAACCAGGGAAATGTAAATTAAAACCAAAATGATAAACTGTCTCCAGCCAGATTAAAACCAAATGAGAAACCTATTATTGAGTGTTGGTGCAGATATGCAGCAGACCAGATGCTGCTGATGGCAGTGTACATTGGCAGCACCACTTCATGTGGACATACAGCATATGCATGTTAACAACAAACATTTCACGAAATAACACTGCAATATGAAATGCATCCGATATCTACCCTAGGTTACTTCACTTAAAAACACTGCTGGCTGACCCCTAAATTGTTCTCATGACTCAGTAATAGGTCACTACTCACGCTTTGAAAAACTGCTCTTGGCCAGGCGCAGTGGCTCACGCCTGTAATTCTGGCACTTTGGGTGGCCAAGGTGGGTGGATCACCAGAGGTCAGGAGTTCAAGACCAGCCTGGCCATCATGGTGAAACCCCATCTTAAAAAAAAAAAAGAAAAGAAAAACTGCTCTTGAAAAACTTGGCTTGTACCAATGGGTTCATTGCAGCTGTTTGTAGTAACAAAATATTGCAAACAAACCAAATGTCCAAAACTGTTGAATGGAAAAATGTATCTTGGTGTATTCATATCATGGAACACTCTCGGTGGAAATGAATTACAGTGACAAGCAACAACACAGTTGAGCCTCAGAAGTAAGATTGGCAGGAGGGGAGGGAAGCAACAGGGAGGGAATACATTTGCATAATTGTGTGTATGTAAAATTAAGAATGTTGCAAAATTAATGATAGGTTTAAGGTTACAAACATGGTAAAAACTTTAAAGAGGGAATATTAATTCAGAATAATGTGTACCTCTGAAGGACTAAGAATCTTTGTATTTTAAATTAGGTAGTGAAGACCAGGTGCAGTAGCTCATGCCTGTGATCCCAGCACTTTGGGAGGCCGAGGCAGGTGGATCACCTGAGGTCAGGAGTTTGAGACCAGCCTGACCAACATGGAGAGAGAAACCTCATCTCTACTAAAAATACAAAATTGCCTGGGTGTCGTGGTGCATGCCTGTAATCTCAGCTACTCAGGAGGCTGAGGCAGGAGAATTGCTTGAACCCAAGAGGTGGAGGTTGTGGTGAGCTGAGATCACACCATTCACTCCAGCATGGGCAACAAGAGTGATTCCAAAAAAAAAAAAATCCGTAAGGAACTGTTGGCAGACGTCACAAACTGATAACCTGTACATTGAAAACGTCCATAGATATGTTTGGCCTTGCACAATAAGAATAGTCAACTGCGGCTCAAAAGCAGCTATGTGTGTCCTTTATAGAGGGTTTGTGCTCCCCAGTTCATCATGGTCCCTACCTAGAGTGATTGTCAATGCACTCACCTGCAAGCATGTGAGTTTGCAGCCACTAGTATAAGAAATGGAAGGAAATCTAGGGATCATATCTGATCCAACTGCATTTTCTAGATGAGGAAATGAGATCCATAGCAGTTGAGAAAGCCTCCTGTGTGTGGGAGAATTGCTTGAGTCTAGGAGTTGGAGGCTGCAGTGACCTATTATCACACCACTGCATCCAGTCTGGGTGACGGAGCAAGAGCTTATCTCTTAAAAAAAAAAAAAAAAAAAAAAAAAAAAATTAAGAAACAACCTAGGCGCAGTGGCTCACACCTGTAATCCCAGCACTTTGGGAGGCTGAGGCGGGCAGATCACGAGGTCAAGAGATCGAGACCATCCTGGTCAACATGGTGAAACCCCGTCTCTACTAAAAATACAAAAATTAGCTGGGCGTGGTGGTGCCTGCCTATAATCCCAGCTCGGGAGGCTGAGGCAGGAGAATTGCTTGAACCCAGGAGGTGGAGGTTGCAGTGAGCCGAGATTGCGCCATTGCACTCCAGCCTGGGTAACAAGAGCAAAACTCCGTCTCAAAAAAAAAATACCAAAAAACAAGAAAAAACACAACCAGGCCGGGCGCGGTGGCTCAAGCCTGTAATCCCACCACTTTGGGAGGCCGAGGCGGGTGGATCACGAGGTCGAGAGATCGAGACCATCCTGGTCAACATGGTGAAACCCCGTCTCTACTAAAAATACAAAAAATTAGCTGGGCGTGGTGGCAAGTGCCTGTAATCCCAGCTACTCAGGAGGCTGAGGCAGGAGAATTGCCTGAACCCAGGAGGCGGAGGTTGCGGTGAGCCGAGATCTCGCCATTGCGCTCCAGCCTGGGTAACAAGAGCGAAACTCCGTCTCAAAAAAAAAAAAAAAAAAAAAAAAAGAAAAAAGAAAAAACACAACCTAATGTTTGTTTCTTCATTTCCCAGTACTAGACAAGATCCAGGAAAGAGAATCTAAGAGGTAACATTTATTGGGGACCTATTTGGTACTTTTGGTATGTCATTTTACATCTTTGACTCTGTGAAGTAGGTAGTAAGCATAGGTAGAAAACAAGTTAGTCTTTCCCCTAATTCTTCATTCACTAATGGGAAAGGGGTAGAATCAGATTCTTAGCTTTCATCCTTGGCCTTTTTTTTTTTTTTTTTTTTTTTTTTCTTTTGAGACAGAGTCTTGGTCTGTTACCCAGGCTGGAGTGCAATGGGACAATCGCAGCTCACTGCAACCTCTGCCTCCCAGGTTCAAGCAATTCTTCTGCCTCAGCCTCCCACATAGCTGGGATTACAGGCGCCCACCACCACACCAGACTAATTTTTGTATTTTTAGTAGAGACGGGATTTCACCGTGTTGGCCAGGCTGGTCACAAACTCCTGACTTCAAGTGATCTGCTCACTTCGGCAAGCAGAGACTTGATTTCTTTAATCACACTTCATCGGTATTTCTGTTGTTTACTTACCCTATAGTCCCTAGCACCTAACAGGTCCTCAACAAGTTTGAGGACCACACTGGATTTCGGCTGCTATGGATCTGCTTATTGCCTCATCTAGAAAATGGATGGAGAGCCGGGCGCGGTGGCTCAAGCCTGTAATCCCAGCACTTTGGGAGGCCGAGGCGGGTGGATCACGAGGTCGAGAGATCGAGACCATCCTGGTCAACATAGTGAAACCCCGTCTCTACTAAAAAAAATACAAAAAACTAGCTGGGCGTGGTGGTGCGTGCCTGTAATCCCAGCTACTTAGGAGGCTGAGGCAGGAGAATTGCCTGAGCCCAGGAGGCGGAGGTTGCGGTGAGCCGAGATCGCGCCACTGCACTCCAGCCTGGGTAACAAGAGCGAAACTCCGTCTCAAAAAAAAAAAAAAAAAAGAAAGAAAGAAAATGGATGGAGTCGTATCAGATGTAATCTCTAGGTTTCCTTCCAGTTCAATACCAGTGGCTGCAAATTCAGATGCCTCCAAGAAACTAAAAATTAGCTGGGTGTGGCAGCAGGCACCTGTAATCCAAGCTACTCAAGAGGCTGAGTCACAAGAATCACTTGAACCTGGGAGGCAGAGGTTGCAGTGAGCGGAGATCATATCACTGCACCCCAGCCTGGGAGTCAGAGCAAGACTCCATCTCAAAAAAAGAAAAAAATCAGCCGGGCATGGTGGCTCACACTTGTAATCCCAGCTACTTGGGAGGCTGATGCAGGAGAATTGCTTGAACCTGGGAGGCAGGGGTTGCAGTGAGCTGAGATTGTGCCACTGCACTCCAGCCTAGGCAATAGAGAAAGACTCCATCTCAACAAAACAAAACAAAACCTACCTCTTTCCTTTATAAATTACCCAGTCTTGGGTATGTCTTTGTTAGCAGCGAGAGAGTAGACTGATACACCATCCATTTTCAATTTTTAAAAAACATAACTTTGGGAACATTAGTAAACTTGAATTATTGCAGATGAACAGGATCCAAAGAAATTCTCAGATG